GCACAAAAATTATGGTGGCAGACAATTGGTAGAATTGATACAAATTCAATAATGACAAGATTGGCAAAATTGACACATGAATTGACCAAAGAAAAACTACACATGAATTGGCAAGCAGATTTTAAAAAAATTATGGCGACAAGCAGAGAATACAATGTTGGCACGCAATTGACACAATTGGTTCGGCATGCAGATTAAAAAAATCGGTAGAAAGCTAGAAGGCAAAAGAAGAAATTTATTGCAGCAAATTCCTTTCAATTCAATTTAGGAGTAACAATTCGCAAGGAGAAATTGATGTGCTATAATGTATCTGTATATAAAAAAAAAATTCACATGTTACCAAATTAATTTTGGTACACATGATAGATGATTGTATTTAAAAAAAAAATTACTACTTTCTCTAAATTTTGAAGAATTAAGCTTTCATGTTGACAACGTATTATAAAAAGAGAGACTAAGAGAAGAGAATAAGAGAAGTTAATAAACTTGTGTGTATAATAATGAGAACCAAAGCCCTATATTTATAGGGAAGGAATAAGGATACATATGGTAATAATATCTAGGGTTGAAGGGGTACAAGTATCATTCACATTAAACCCTAATTTACTTTTCTTTTACAACACTAATTAAATTATAAAAGATTTTGACAAAAATTTCTCCTAAGAGCTTGATTGAGATTTATTATAATCACATTATAATTTAAAGTCGAAATCAAACGTTAATTTTAAACACGAATGTATAACTATTACCCAGTGATAGAAGTGAATATGTCCCGATTTGGGCAGATTTTGAATTATATTCATGCAAACCATTTGACTAAATTCCAAAACAAATCAAACAAAACCAAACCATTTCATTTACCAAAATCAAACCATTTTTCGCGATTTGATTTTATTTCAAATTATGGTTTTAGCGATAAAAAATAACATCTTTCAAACAAATGTAAATAAATAAATATATTGGTCTAAATTTTGCTAACAATACTTACATTGAAACCATTTAGCTTGCATATGGGAAGAATTTATAAATGATTTGATTTATAAAATAAATAAAAATGAGAGGTGGATAGATGCATATATAATATTGTGGATTTATCAAACGTATTGTTCAACATGATGTGTGACAATTTATAAATGAAATATATTATCTCAAATAAGGGCATAATATAAGCGTTACAATGCTAGGATATTTGTCTCAATATAAACTTAAACCTATAAATCGATACAAGTTCAATTATAAATTATTAAAAATCAAGTTTGCAATTTTAATCTTTAGATTAAAAAAATATTATCATAAATAAACATTATTTTCCTAAAGAGCCAATAGAAGTAGACTAGTAAGTAAATTGTTGAAGTATAAATTGATCTAAAAATAATTTATCTTGGATAAAACAAGTAAATTTTTTAGAAAAACTGGATGAATGTTTCGGTTTGATTTCAACTGATTTTTAACTATCCAAACCTAAACCGAATCATTTCCAAATTGTTTGATTATCAAAACTTCAAACCCGCAATTTTGAATTGATTTTGCCGGTCGGCGGTTATTTTTTCATTACGACTCACTCCTTATCCAAATATTTCATCAAATTAATTCCTTATTTTATTGTAATCTCAGTATAATTTTTTTTCCCAAACAAGCTCTAAGTTATGGTATTAAAGTCGGATAAAAATAATTCAAAAACTTACCAATCGTTATGAATTTTGAGTGCCTTAAATGAAATGGAACAATACATAACTACAACACTATAACTATTACACTTCAAAACTAACAAATTTGTCAAATTATATCAAAATTCATGTGTTAATTCCAATTAATAATACACATAATATATAATTAATTATCCCCACCCCAAACAAATTATTAGTATTCCAATTAATAATGGACCCCACCCACGGACCCTCCACCCACCGTACCCCACTTGTAAAAAAATTTCAAAAAATGAAAACTTTTTTTTTTTGAGATGACACCCCATCCCGAGAACCACCACCACAGACCTTTACCCTACCCCACACCACACCTACATATTAAGGCCTTGTTTGGGAGGGATTAAATTTTTCTACAATAAATCAATTCTCATTTTCAACCACACATTTTTCAATAAAATAATATTTTCTATCACATTAATAATTTTTTCTTCTTTTTCAACCACACATTTCCCATCATATCACTATTCAAAATCAATTTTTCCCCCAAAAATTTCTCCCAAACAAGCTCTAAAAAGCCACATGCTTGAGGTAGACTGTTAGGTAAGAATTAAAATCTAAATTTTAATTTAAGCCTTGTTTGGGAGGGATTAGATTTTTCTACAGTAAATCAATTCTCATTTTCAACCACACATTTTTCAATAAAATAATATTTTCTATCACATTAATAATTTTTTCTTCTTTTTCAACCACACATTTCCCATCATATCACTATTCAAAATCAATTCTTTTCTCAAAAATCTCTCCCAAACAAGCTCTAATTGTATTTTATGTGATTAAATTTATTGTTTGTAACCATACATGTGTTTTATATGATTAACTATGACCAAATTTATCTTCAGTGTGATTAACTAGTTACGGTCTAATTTGCGACTGTACATAACCAAATCACTAACATGTGTTATTTTGATTAACCTAACTAAATTTGTCTTCGGTGTGACTGTCAGTGACCAAGTCAATCTTCACTATAACGATATGTGACCAAGTCATAATCGATCGCAATTAATACGGAATTGGTCACAACCAATTACAATAAACACATACATAGTCACATAAGATCACCACAAATAGATCTGCACACACCACAGATCGGCACCACAATCCACCACCACTATCACTTTCAATGTACCACCCACAACCACCTTCAACTCAAACTCACGACCATAAATATTACCTTGACTAACATGTGTTATTAGTGACTAACCATGGTTAAATTTGTCTTCAATGTGACTTTTTGTGATCAAATCAGTCTAATTTGTGATTGTATGTAATCAAATCACATACAATTACAATTAATATAGATTTGGTCACAGATAATCACAATAAAAATAAACATGGTCACACCCGATTGTCGTCGCCGCTGCTGCCGCCCCCAATAATTTCGAGAACCAAATGCATACCACCTCACCAAGACATCATGCACTAGCAGAAACATTGTCGCCTACACCACCAACACCACCTCATAAACCAGGAAATCACCGGCACAATTTGCAAAACACCAACAATCATCCAAAAACTTTGGCTAAACAACAAGTCTGAAACAACCATCCACCACATCTGATCAAACAACTGCCACACCACCATATCAAACAATAGATCTGATTAAACAATCACCCACCAAACCAATTTCAAGCCGTTAACAAAAATGTCAGTGTTCACTCATGAAGCAGCGGCGGCTCGCTACGAGAAAAACTGGTTGCTGCAAGCAGTGGTTCGTTGCTGCTTAAAAAATGGAAGGGTTAGAAAGGGAGTGGATGGGTGGGGTGGAGAAGGAAGACAGAGAGAAGCCACAACTGCTGCGGGAAGCACTCGTCGCTGCTTGTAGCAACTGCGGCTGAAGAAGCGCCGCGCGCAACGATGCCAAAAAATTGAGGTATCAAAAAGGCATGGGATGATAAAGAGAAAGAAGAAAGAGGTGTTAGAAATCACCAATGCGCACATCGCCGAAAATGTGGCATTAGAAAAGGGGATGGAGAGGTGGTCAGTGATAAAGAGGGAAAAGAAAAAGAATGAAAAAGTTTGAAAATGAAATTGATTGGTACGTCTGGGGTGGAATAAATTATGATTAATTTTTGGAAAAGTCTAAGTGTACATAATTTGGCCACATAATGGTGTCCATAATATGATGTGGACAAGATCTGACTGTTGATGTGAAAGTGTGAGATTTGAATTAAAGGTTGGATCCAGTGCCACGTGTAATTATGGACACCATTATGTACAAAATTATGTACATGTAGCACTTCCC